CTAGTGGAGGGAGCTCTAGAGGTTAGTGGTAGTGAGGCTGGCCTAGGGAGGTGATCTGCCATAGCCCCCAGGCCGTGAGGAAGGGAAAGAGGCTAGAAGGAGTCCCATTAGCCCTCCTAGAGGGGAGGACTCCATAGCCATAGTGGAAGAAGCTTGCCATAGTTTGGGTGAGGTTGAGAAAGGATGGAGACAAGGGCTTGAGGAAGTAAAAAACCATAGCTAAGGTGGTTGGTTTGTCCTTTTCTTCACTCCCATGTGAAGCGTTACTTCCCCCTTTGTGATTTCATGCATTTGGGTGAGTTACACTCACTCTTTCCTCACTTTCTCCCCTCTTCTTCACTTAGGAGCAAATCGCAACTCTTGTCTATGCTTAATCAAGTGTTTTGATGATGATTATCTCTTGTTTTGTCCTTTTTTTCACTCCCATATGAATCGCTACTTCCCCCCCATGAGATTTCACGCATTTGGGTGAGTTACACTCACCCATTTTTCACTTTCTCTCCGCTTCTTCACTTAGGAGCAAATCGTAACTCTTGTCCATGCTTGTTCTGGTGTTTTGAAGGTTCATTTCACCTACTTTGCTGAATTCTCTCACATGATGATGTTCCGTTTCATTCTTGGTTGCATGCATGAGCTTCAAACATCTGTTTGAGCAAGTCTCACTCACATGCATGACTCAACTCTCACATGATGGCATTTCGTTTCATCCTTGGTTGTATTCATGAGCTTCAAGCATGTGTTTGAGCAAGTCTCACTCACATGCATGACTCAACTCTCACATGATGACGTTTCATTGCAGTCTTAGTTGCCTTCATGGGCTTCAAGCATGTGTTTGAGCAAGTCTCACTCACATGCATGGCCCACCTCTCACATGACAGTGCTCCGTTTCACACTTGGTTGTTCTACTACTCATGTACATGTGCTTTCACTACTCACACTCTCATTTTGTCAAGTTCATGCCTTTGGTAGTGTTCCGGTTCTCACTTGGCTGTTCTACTACTCATGTACATGTTGCTTTCACTACTCATACTCTCATTTTGTCAAGTTCATGCCTTTTCTAGTGTTCCGGTTCCCGCTTGGCTGTTCTACTTCTCATGGGCATGTGTTCTTACTACTCACGCTCTCATTTTGTCAAGTTCATGCTTTTGGAAGTGTTCCGTTTCACACTTGGCTGTTTTACTACTCATGTGCATGTGCTTTCACTACTCACACTCTCATTTTGTCAAGTTCATGTCTTTGGTAGTGTTCCGGTTCTCGCTTGGCTATTCTACTACTCATGTATATGTGCTTTCACTACTCACACTCTCATTTTGTCAAGTTCATGCCTTTGGTAATGCTCCGTTTCACACTTGGCTGTTCTACTACTCATGTACGTGCTTTCACTACTCGCACCTTCATTTGGTCAAGTTCGTGCCTTTGGTAGTGTTCCGGTTCTCACTTGGTTGTTCTACTACTCATGTACATGTGCTTTCACTACTCACACTCTCATTTTGTCAAGTTCATGTCTTTGGTAATACTCCGTTTCACACTTGGATGTTCTACTACTCATGTACATGTGCTGTCACTACTCACACCTTCATTTTGCCAAGTTCGTGCCTTTGGTAGTGTTCCGGTTCTCACTTGGCTGTTCTACTACTCATGTACATGTGCTTTCACTACTCACACTCTCATTTTGTCAAGTTCATGCCTTTGGTAATACTCCATTTCACACCTGGCTGCTACTGCTGTGGGATGTGTGATCGACGCTTGGCTGCTACTGCTGTGGGATGGGTGACTGACACTTGGCTGCTACTTCTATGGGATGGGTGACCGACACTTGGCTGCTACCGTTGCGGGATGGGTGAATGACACTTGGCTGCTACTTCTGTGGGATGGGTGACAGACACTTGGTTGCTACTGCTGTGGGATGGGTGACCGGCCCTTGGCTGCTACTGTTGTGGGTTCCTTTGCTGTTGTTCAGTCTTTCCTTCATTTAGTAATGTGGTGGTTGCTTCCTAGTTGTTCCGTGACTCATGCGTGGGTATGTTGTAGGTCTTTTGCTGCAGTTCAGTCTTTCCTTCACCTAGTAATGTGGCGGTTGCTTCCTAGTTGTTCCCTGATTCATGTATGTATGTATTGCCGGTCTTTTGCTGTTGTCCAAGTCTTTCCGTCACTTAGTAATGTGGCGGTTGCTTCCTAGATGTTCCTTGACTCATGCATGGGTATGTTGTAGGTCTTTTGTTGCTGTCCAAGTCTTTCCTTCACTTAGTAATGTGGCGGTTGCTTCCTAGCTGTTCCGTGACTCATGTATGTGTGTGTTGTGGGTCTTGTGCTGCAGTTTAGTCTTTTCTTTACTTGGTAATGTGTCGGTTTTTCCTAGTCGCCTCCCTAACCTCGCACATGTGCGTGCTCTAGCCTAAATTGTGCAGTTCAGTCTTCCCTCACTCAATGATGAATCGGTTCAAAGCTTGAACAAGGGATGGTAGGTCAAGTAAGGGTAAGGGTTGATTAGGATTAGGGAGTTTTTTCTCTCCCTCTCTCCCTTTCTCTCTCTCTCTTTCTCCCTCTTCTCTCTCTCTCTCTCTCTCTCTCTCTCTCTCTCTCTCTCTCTCTCTCTCTCTCTCTCTCTCTCTCTCTCTCTCTCGTTCCTCTGTATCATACTTCGGACCCCTCAACCTTCTTCCCTTCCACCACTTCGCATATAACTAACACTTGACCACTCACTTGTTACATCGCCAGGGGACGAACGGTAAAAATAATTAGTCCTCACTTGGCGGAGAAAGTGGGCAAGGGAAGGGTTGTCGGTCCCTTGTGCCGCCGAGAAGGAAAAGGAGGAGACACGTGAGCAATTGAGAGGAGTCAAGCCCAGGAAAAAGGATTAGACCAAGTTAGTACTTAAAGCAAGGTCAGTTTGACTCAATCATTTCCCCGACTGCATGACTACGAGAAGAGGATGGACTGATTGAGCGAAGGAAGGAGAATAATGAGAAGCGAAAGAAAAGGAAAGTTAGGCATGCGGGAAGGGCTATGTGTTGACCCCAATGGGGGATTGTATCGATGTCGGTGTGAATACCCTTACAAGGGTATCCGCCCGAGTTTTTGCAAGCGATAGATAATAAGATCAAAAGTCTAAGTATTTTGCGTGAAGCGTGGCTGCGCCAGTGGTTTACGTTGGCTAGACGATTGACTAAGAGTAGAGAGTGTGTGGGCGCGCGGAATTGAGGCGCGCGTGATCTTTTATTTTTGGTTGATGATTGTGAAAGTCGGCGTAGTTGCCGACCAGATTTTATTTTCTTTTGATTAAACATGGATTCAAAAAAGATTACGTCCCGTTGATTAATGTGCTCACCTGTGACTTGTGCGTACGTGCGGAGGACGACATCGACAACAATGTGACTTTTGAAGGCGTTTCGGTAGCTCGGCGCGTCTCGCAGTGTCCGTTTGTTTAGGCGCCCGCCAGAGCTAGACCCAGACTAGGGCCCGATGTAGGGGCCGTACCCTGAAGGACTTTCGAGCCTTGGTCGACCCCACTGCGGGTCCCACTTGGCTCGACCCGCCCACGCTCACGCTCAGGGCGCAGGTCGTTCGTCCCAGGGGCACCCCCACCTAGTGCTATGAAATGGATGGGGGTGGGCCTTCTGCGAGAGGGCTTTACATTGGGGGATGTAGCTCCGCTCTCGCCCAAGATGGTAGCTCTTTGGCACTCGTGGCGTTTTCTTGATTCTGTTAAGTCTGACCAATCAACTGCTTCTTCCAATACGCAGGCAGTCCAGGGGATTCGTTGAGAGTTTTTCTTTATTTCGTGTGTAGGCCAAGCGTCATCCATTGGACCGCACACCTTTTCACTAAGTCTAGTGGCTCAAGACAGCCCCTACAGCATCCTTGGGGTGGGATGGCATCGCCCGGCCCCTAGCCGCTATATTTTTTTTGCTCGAGCCCCTAGTATCACATCCACCTATCCGAGACGCCCTTAGTCCTTCCAGGCGTAGCGTTGCACACAAGAGAGACATTCCATGCAATCTCCACACGAGCCAGGCCCAAGCATCAACCATCCACCCGAGCACCCCACCATCAACCCCACCTTGCATTCATAGCTTACGCGAGTTCTCAGTCCTTCCCTTATCCAATTTCCCACCCTCGCCCTCGTCTGCGGATCCAACCCCGATCAGATCGCCCCGGCCCACTCACCTGCACAAGACCACACAAGACGAAAGGCCCAAGTACAATCCCCATTGGGGTCAACACATCGCCCCTTCCCGCAAGCCTAAAATTCCTTTGCCTTTGACGTTCCTTAGGTTGTCTTTCCCCATCCCTCAAGCAAACCATGCCTTCACCTTAGTCAAGCAGTCGGGGAAGATGGTTGAGTCAAACTGACCTTGTCGCAAAAACAGCACTCCTCTCCGATTTCTTTGATGATCACAACAGTCTGGTACCTTTCCTTCTTGGCGGCACAAGGGACCGGCTGCCCTTCCCTTGCCCTCGCTTTCCACCAAGTGAGGATCAAGTTCGTTACCGTTCGTCCCCTGGCAATGTAACAGGTGAGGGTATTGGTTAGTCACGTGTCACGGAGGGGATGGGGAAGAGGGAGAGTCAAGGGTCAAAGGGTTTGAGGGGGCAGAGAAAGGGGAGAGAGCGAGAGAGAGAGGGAAGGAGAGAGAGAGAGAGAGAGAGAGAGAGAGAGAGAGAGAGAGAGAGAGAGAGAGAGAGAGAGAGAAGTGAGGGCGATGAAAGAAACAAGAAGTTCCACATCCTAATCGACCCCGCTCCTCGGCTCACCCTAATCGACCCTTCCTCGAAATCCCGTACGTCTCCCCCTTTGCGACCCCTTAGACTTTCGGGTGGATGGCGTGGACGGTGGAGGAGGAAGAAGGGTTGAGGATGGTCGGCTATGGCGGACGGGCGTCGGCAATGGAGGAGGAAGAGGGTTGGGGGTGGCCGGCTATGGTGGACGGGTGTGGATGATGGAGGAGGGAGAAGGGTTGAGGGTGATCGGCTATGGTGGATGGGCGTAGATGGTGGGGGAGGAAGAAGGATTGGGGTGGTTGGCTATGGTGGATGGGTGTAGGTGGTGGAGGAGGAAGAAGGGTTGGGGTGGTTGGCTATGGCGGACAGGTGTGGGTGATGGGGGAGGAAGAAGGGTTGGGGGTGGTCGGCTATGGTGGATGGGTGTGGGTGATGGAGGAGGAAGGGTTGGAGATGGTCGGCTATGGTGGACGGGCGTGGGTGATGGAGGAGGGAGAAGGGTTGAGGGTGATCGGCTATGGTGGACGGGTGTGGGCGATGGAGGAGGAAGAAGGGTTGAGGGCAGTTGGCTATGGTGGACGGGTGTGGGTAGTGGAGGACGAAGAAGGGTTGGAGGTGGTCGGCTATGGTGGACGGGTGTGTGTGATGGAGGAGGAAGAAGGGTTGAGGGTGGTCGGTTATGGTGGACGGGCGCGGGTGATGGAGGAGGAAGAAGGGTCGAGGGTGGTCGGCTATGGTGGACGGGTGTGGGTGATGGAGGAGGAAGAAGGGTTGAGGGCAGTTGGCTATGGTGGACGGGTGTGGGTGATGGAGGAGGAAGAAGAGTTGAGGGCGGTTGGCTATGGCGGACGGGTGTGGGTGATGGAGGAGGAAGAAGGGTTGAGGGTGGCCGACTATGGCGGACCGGTGTGGGTGATGGAGGAGGAAGAAGGCTTGAGGGTGGCCAGCTATGGTGGACGGGTGCGGGTGATGGAGGAGGAAGAAGGGAACTTGGGGTGAAAGAATAGCGGTGGAGATGAAGGGAGGATAGGCACGAGACGACCCTCAGCCCGTGTCGCCCCCCCCTTAATAGACCGCCCGGATTACCGCTGGTCACGATCCTAAGTCCCGGGCCCAAGCACATCCTCTATAGACCTCCTGAACGGCACCGGTCACAGCAAACAGTAGGGAGGGAGTGCGCTGGACTAGGGACTGCAGCACACACACATACATACTTAACGAGTCACCGGTTGCAGCAAACAGCGGAAGGGGGGTGGACTGAACTATCCGGGGCCGCAACACACACATCCACATACTTCACAAGTCACCGGTTGCAGCGAGGGGTGAGGGTGAACCGAACAGGTTACCGGGGACTGCAACACACACACATACATATACCGCATGCCACCGGTTTCAGCAAAGGGTGAGGGTGGACTGAACAAGTTGCCGGGGCAGCAACACACACGCATACTCATACTGGGTGTCACAGGTTACAGCACAGGGTAAGGATGAACTGAACAGGTTACCGGGGACTGCAACACACACACATACTCATACCGGGTGTCACAGGTTACAGCAAGGGGTAAGGATGGACTGAACAGGTTACCGGGGGCTGCAACACACACACATACTCATACCGGGTGTCACAGGTTACAGCAAGGGGTAAGGATGGACTGGACAGGTTACCGGGGACTGCAACACACACATACACATACCGGGTGTCACAGGTTACAACAAAGGGTAAGGATGGACTGACCAGGTTACCGGGGACTGCAACACACACACATACTCATACCGGGTGTCACAGGTTACAGCAAGGGGTAAGGATGGACTGGACAGGTTACCGGGGACTGCAACACACACACATACTTGTAACTACCGTCAATTGACAAGCTAGGAAGCATCCTTACTAGGGGAAAGCCTACCGTAGTACCCCAAAATGAATTGCCACACATACTTGCGTCAAGCATAGCCAAAAGATAAGTTTGAAGCAATCAATCAAAGGAAAGTTCCCCGAAGTATCTCGGAGAGAATCGCAACACATACATGTGTCAAGAACAGCCAAGAGATGATTTTGGAAGCAATCTACCAAGGGGAA